TACTATTATAACATTAATGGTTAATAATATTATATATATATATATATATATATATATATATATATATAAGATCAAATCGTTTTACCATTAGTAGGCCTCATTCACGAAGCCCGGTCTATAAGGGGGTATAGGGTTGTTTCCTATAAAATGACAACTTAATGGGTGTCCACTCTCACCCACCGCTTCCTTGACCGGTGGAGGGTCGTTAGCCGAACAGGTAGGACAATGACTTTAATTCTCATTAAAACTATGATTATTATTACAAAGTAACTAAATGTTTTATAATTCCTAATCTTAGTTACTTTAGGAAAATGTGAATATGGTGCTAACCCATGAAATTCACACTTTGTACATTACCAAGTCGTTGGTGGAGCGTGTGTGGGTAACCGACATACTAACTTGGACTAGTAAGGATAACAAAGGGTAACTTAATGTTTATCATAGATTGATGGAGCGTGTGTGGGTAACCGGCACAATGATTAGGGGATAATATTAAGGGTACCAAGTGAATTTTCATGGTTATTCACACCTTGTTTTTGTGATCCTCGGCATCCCAGTCACAAAAATTGAAGGGCACATTCGAGATTGAAACATGTCATTGAAAAGTTCAATGAATCTCAAAAGAACCTAGGAATTTCAAAACCAATTAAAACCTAATAATTTATTTCGGTTTCGTGGTGGAAATTGGTGAATCTTCATTCACCTACCTTCAAATATGTTATGGCTTAGAGTACGTCATCTCTCTTCTAAGTTATAATATATTGTGTTGGGTCCTAGCGTTAATATTACATTTAGGTATTTTATTAAGGACTCTATATATCTAATCTAAACTTGTTTTCTTCTTTTCAGATGTTTTCCAACAACAATGCTTCGGGCTCTAACCCTACAGGCTCCTTCTCTCTCATGAACCTTTATGGGAGAGTCATCTTCGATGGTACAAACTTTATGGATTGCATCTGTAACATCAGGATGGTCACTCGTTACGAGGACAAGGAATATGTCCTCGAAAAGGAGCTTAAGGAACTCGATGAGTATACTACTACTCCTAAGGACATCGCTGAATTCAGGACACATGAGAGAGATGCCACTAACCTAGCATGTATTATGATGGCCACGATGTCAGCCGAGCTCCAAAAGTCCTATGAGGACTATTACCCTTTTGAGATGCACCAGGATTTGATGGAAAGGTACCATCAAAGTGCTCGTCAAGAGAGGTATGAAATAATCTCCTCCATGCTCACAACCCGAATGAAGGATGGTGAACCCATCACGGGCCACATGCAAAAGATGAAAAGGTATGTGGACCGTTTGCTGAAACTAAATGTTAACTTTCTTGAGGAGTTGGCAATTGACATCATTTTTCACTCCTTAACTTCTTGTTATGACCAATTTTGAATTACATACCACAGGAACAAGGAGGAAGTTACTCTCAGCAAACTTTAGGGACTTTTGAAGACCGCAAAAAGTGATCTTAAAGGAAAGTCGGTTGTTACTTCTACTCTTACTCCTACAGCTACCTTTGTTTTGGCTATCAGGCAAGGCAAAGGAAAGAAGAAGACCCCTTTAAAGGGTACCAAGGGAAACTCTCTTGAAGGCTCCTCATTTGGAACCAAAATTTGTTCTATCACCCCTTCTGCTAACCCTAAAGAGGCTAAATGCTTCTATTACCAGAATAAGGGGCACTGGAAGCGAAGCTACCCAAAGTACTTGTAGGATGTCAAGGACAGGAAAGTGAAACCATCCCATGTAGTTATTTACACTATATTGTCTGATAACTCACCATATTCTAACTCTTGGGTCCTTGATACAGGTTATGGTATTCACATATGTTCTGATTTGTAGGGCCTAAGAAGAAGTGAGGATGTAGAGCACAGAAAGATAAACCTAATCAAGGGGAATAGGAAGGCTTCACCTGTTACCAATATTGGAGTTTATACTTTGTTGCTAAGTAGTGGGTTAAAGTTAGATTTGAATAAATGTGTTTACTCATCTGAAATGGTGAGAAATATTATTTCTCTTCATCGTTTGTACAAACAAGGGTTTACCTTTTCTTTTGATAATGAATCTAGTGGTATTACTGATTTCTTTAATAATGTTCTTTATTTTAAAGCATTACCTTGTGATGGCGTGTATCAAACTGTGTCGGTTGTAGATAACCTAGGAAATAATGTCTTGTGTATTGATTCTTCTACTGGCTTGGATAAAGCATCATTATGGCATTGTCGTCTTGGTCATGTAAGCAAGAAACGCATAAGCTAATTCCAAAAGGATGGTGTCTTAGAGTCATTTGACCTAAAGTCAGAAGATAGTTGAGAATCTTGTTTGCTTCGGAAAATGAAAAAATCACCCTTCACTGGTACTTGTGCAAGGGGTGAGGGTTCGTTGGACCTTATATATACTGATGTATGTGGACCCTTCAAAACCGCCACAAGGGATGCTAATCGCTATTATGTGACTTTTACTAATGATTTTAGTATATATGGTTATGTCTACTTAATCAATCATAAGTCAGAAACTTTAGAAAGCTTTAAAGAGTTTAAACAGGAAGTAGAGAATCAATTGGGTAGGAACATGAAGATGCTTCGATCCGATTGAGGTGGTGAGTATCTTAATACACAGTTCCTCGACTATCTGAAGGAGTGTGGGATTGTCTCACAATTGACACCTCCCAGGACACCACAATTGAATGGTGTGGCTGAGAAGCGTAATCATACTTTGTTGGACATTGTTCGCTCCATGATGAGTCGAGCTTTGCTAGCAATCTATTTTTGGGGGTATGCCTTAGAGACTGCGGCCGATATCCCTAATCTAGTCCCTATAAAGAAGGTTTCCAAAACACCTCATGGGATGTGGACTGGGAAAGTTCCCAATTTGGACCATATCAAGATTTGGGGTTGCGAGGCTTTTGTGAGGCGCGATACTCAATATAAGTTCAAACCTCGAAGTGAGGGGTGTATTTTCATCGGCTACCCACAGAAATCCTTTGGTTACCTCTTCTACAGACCTAGTGAGAATGTGGTCTTTGTGGCAAAAAAGAGTGGTCTTTCGCGCGCACGCGCACGCAAGAGAGATAGATAGAGAGAGAGAGAGAGAGAGAGAGAGAGAGAGAGAGTTCATAAGGCAAGGAAACAGTAGGAGGCAAATTGACCTTGAAGAAATTCAAGAGTCAAGTGGTGAAGGAACGTCAGACACTAGTAACCAACCTGAGGAGGAAACTCCTGTTGAGCCAACTGACAAGTCTATTCCTCTGAGGCGTTCCACGAGGGCTTAGGAATGCACCTGAGCATTAATATGGTTTCCATATTACTGCGCAAGGTGATACATTTATCAGTGATAGTACACTGGTAAATTTGGATGAACCTAACAGTTTTCAGGAAGCCATGGCAGGCTTGGAGTCTGCTAAATGGAAGCAGGCTATGGACAATGAGATACAGTCCATGTATGACAATCAAGTTTGGAACTTGGTTGATAATGTACCCAGCTGTAAGATAGTTGGGTGCGAGTGGATCTTCAAGAATAAGACCGACATGGATGGTAAAGTGCATAATTATAAGGCACGACTAGTTGTGAAGGGTTTTACTCAGACTCAGGGTATTGATTATGATGAAACCTTCTCACCAGTAGCGAAGATAAAGTCTATTAGGGTCATGCTAGCCATTGCTGCATTTCATGATTATGAAATATGGCAAATGGATGTCAAAACCGCTTTCCTTAATGGAAAGTTGGCTGAGGATGTTTACATGAGTTAGCCAGAGGGTTTTGTCAGCGCGGAGTACCCAAATAGAGTGTGCAAGCTTGATAAATCCATTTATGGATTGAAACAAGCATCTCGCAGCTGGAATCTTTGTTTCAATGAAAAGGTCAAAGAGTTTGGTTTCTCGAGAAGCGAAGATGAGTCGTGCATATATGTCAGAGCTAGTGGGTGTATAGGTAGGTTTTTGGTATTGCATGTGGATAACATACTACTCATAGGAAATGTCATCCTAACTCTGCAAGAGGTGAAGTCCTGGCTTGGGAAGTGATTTGCTATGAAGGACCTTAGATAAGCTGCCTATATCCTAAGGATAAGGATATTGAGAGAATTGAGTAAAAGACTAATTGGACATAGTCAAAGTACTTACTTGGATAAGGTGCTGAATAGGTTCAACATGCAGGACTCCAACAAAGGAGATTTACCAATCCAGAGTAACGCCAGGCTGAGTAAGACTCAGAGCCCGAGTACAGAGGTTGAGATAGTTGAAATGAGCTGAGTATCGTATATTTCCGCTATAGGCTCAATCATGTATGTTTTAACTTGTACTTGTCCTGATGTGGCTTTTGCTTTGAGCATGGCCAGCAGATATCAGGGGAACCCTAGCAAGGCTCACTGGACTACGGTAAAGAACATTCTCAAGTATCTTCGAAGGATTAAGGACTAGGTCATTGCCTTCAGTGGGAGTGATGACTTAAGAGTCGTTGGGTATAGTGATGCTATCTTCCAGACTGATAGGGATAATTTCCTATAACATCCCGAACTTCGCAGGTATATTTCAAATCCCTCTTCTTTTTCAAATTTCCAATTGTAGCCCCTGGGATGTTTGAGTTGGGACATGAGAAGTAAAAGGACTGAAGTTGCGACTTTGAGTCGGGTAGGAATACGCTGAGCATACATAAGGGTACGCAGAGCGTACTAGGCGCGTCCTAGTACGCTGTGCGTACACTCATGTACGTCGAGCGTACTAATGTCTGGAGAAAAGCCTAATATTTAGGGTTTAGGGACTATATAAATACCCATACGGATCATTTACTCTGCTTATCCTTAGCCTCCACAGCCTACATTCATCCTCCCCAAACCCTAGGTCTTCTTTGTGGGTGTAAGTTTGATTGGTGTGTGTTTTGGAGTGTTTCAAGAGAAAAACATGGCATTCAAGTGTTGGAGAAGAAGAACAAGTTCATAGATCTAAAGTTAGTTTGTGCTCAAGAAGCTCCTAACGGTATAAAGTTTTAAACTTTATGCACATATGCTTAGACCTAATGATTTTACTTTCTTAGAAGCATCTCTTGTCCCAAAATCCATAAATTGGTGTATTTTGTGTTATGGACATAAAGAGCTGTACTTCCAGGCTCTTGAAGGAACTTTGAGTGATAAAATCCAGGACCTATTAGCTATAAGTGTCCCGTGCAAGAGGAATAAGGTCTTAATTGTTAAGACCAAGCATTTAGAACTTTATGGACGTCCAAAGTGAAAAAGGTCATGACTTTATGGACCCTGGGCACATTAGGCCTCTGGATATGAGATTAGAACTTAAGTGTTTAAGCCATTAAGAAATTAATAAGGTTTTGTCAAGAGATGGAATACACCCAACATACTTGGTCATCCACCCCGATGGTGGTCAACCTCTGGTTGCGTACGCCCCGCGTACGACCTCTGTTGGGCCATTGACATTTCGGCTTCAGGTTTTGGGGTGTCTTGTGGACTAAAGGGGGTTTGGGCCTTTTTTGGGCTTAGGAAATAAGATGTTATGGGCCATTTAGTGGTAGTGGATCATGGGTTTAGGCCCAATAAGGAGGTTGGGCCCAATTTAGTAAATTAGGCCAAATAGTGGGTTATGTCATAGACCATCAAGTTAGGGATTTGGTGTGGGTCGTCGGCCCACCAAAAAGGAATAGACTTAATGAGTAATGAGGACACTTAGTTAAAGAAATAATGTTAGGTATTAACCAAGTAATTTCATTATGTAACAGTTCATGATATCCGGTGAGACAGCAGCCAGAGATTTACAGTATTTCAGGACTACTTGCGAGGTGAGTTTCCTCACTATACTAAGGTGTCTAAGGCACCAATTCTGGCCCATTGGATATGATATCCCATTAGTTGGTAGTATGTTGAGTATGATTCAGTATTATATGATAGTTGCTATGGATGTTAGGTAGATCTGTAGGACTACCTGTGTTACTATGTGTTTATTTGTATGCACATTACTTGTGTTATATGTCGACATATTATGTGGGGTGGGTTGAGGATACTGCTTCGTGCAGTAACCAACAAACCCAGGAGCATTCCTTGCTTCAGTCTACTAAAGCTTCCTCTCGCAGTGACTATTCTGAGGAAACTGTCAAGGCATTCCTTGAAACCCTCAACAAAGAGCACACTGCGAACCTTGACAAAACAAACAAGGTTGTTGATGAATCTGCAAACTTTTGCAAGGAGACGACCCAAAAAGTTGATAAACAAATTTCTGATGCTCGATCCTTTATGAGTACTTTTCAGAATTCTTTTGAGACAAACACTGCAAAGGCGAATGCGATGATAACCAGTCTTGGATCTACCCTTCGTACTGAGAAGGATCATATTGAGAATGTCTGCACTGGCATCAAAACTAACAACACAGAGTTTCACTCTTCCATCTCTTCCAAAATAGACAAGCTTCATGAAGATTTGGCTATAAAGAACAAAATAATGCATAAGCTCCCCATCAAAACAAAAAAAAATGAAGGTCCTATCTATCTGGCTAGCACATGTTGAGAAGCAGATTAATACAATTTTATCTAAAAATGATGTGATGAAGAGTTGTGTTGTCGATGTGAACGCCTTACTCTCCAATATTATTAAGACTTGTGATTCATTAATCACGATCACTATCAGGAAGCATCTGGCTGAAAAACACAGGCATGTGTACACGATGTGTGACAACCCGAAATTTCCATTCTTTATAAACATTATCAAGTCAATAGAAGTTAACAGTCGCAGTGAATTTTCAGACTTTTCCATATAAGTTTGAGTATTTCAGGGTTTACACTTAAAGAGATATCAGGAGAGAGGATGCACTAGGGTTTCATGCAACTCTGTTATTTTAGAACTCTATGATATTAGAGTTCATTTATTGAATAAAGATATTCCCCACCAAAAATCCCAGTACTATATATATGATTCTTAACCAAATTATTTCATTAGCCATTTCTCTCTCACGGATCTTCGGGTTTTCATCCCAAATTGTGAGTACCTCTCTCTAGTTGTATTATATGGCTTATAATGTGTTTAATAACATAGATTTCATAGCAAAAATGCAAGATTCGAGAGTTACCGCCGAAGAACACCTTGGGGAGTAAACTCATTTATAAGGGTAAAATGATGCCTAGACCTTCCCCTGTGATATATAACTACCTTAGGCTTGTATGAAGGTGTATTTAAGACTAGAAATCAACCATAAACACCAAGATTTAGGTGTTCACGGCCCAAGAAGTTCTTGGATCGTGAACTCCAAACTCAAAGGCCAAAGAGTGCCTTAATCACTCCTAAAGCCTTGGACAATAGCCTCGATCTAATCCTAGTTAATTTAGGGACCTTAAATCATCAAATGCCCACCCCCATGAGAGATTACGACCATAATCTCTAAGGGAAATGGTCTTTGGGCCGTGAACATCAAGGAAGGGCACCAAAGTGTGGCTAAGGCGTTCATTAGCCATAGATAAATGTCAAGAACCTATCCTACATGAGCATGGGACTTGAAAGCATAAAAACACACCTCTTCATATGAGTTTACAGTAGTAAACTCAATAGGAATTGGCCTTGGCTCCGTAAACTCCTCAAAGGAGTGTATAAGTTCCCTAAACCCTTCTAAGAATTAATCCACCAAGTGGGAATGCTTCTAGGGATCATTTAGAGCTTCAAAATACCAAATGACATTAAACTTAGGAGTTTACGGCCGTAAACTCCTTGTCTGTGGTTCATTGAAGAGTAAAATCATGTATAGGGTCCTTTGGAACCCTAAACCCCTTTAGCCTTGTCCCACAACAACATAGATGCAACCCTTAGGACTTATAACACTTATACAAAGTGTTTTCATGTTCTAGAATGTCCCAACTTAATTTATTAGTTATAATTTGGCTAATTAGTTATATATATATATATATATATATATATATATATGTTCATTATATGATAACGAGGCTCGTGCATGTGTACAAGTCTCCATTTTCCACCTAGCGTCGTATCCGACATTTCAATCCAATCCACTCACTACAAGTGAGTTCATACCCCTTTAACTAACCTTTGAAATACTTCTAAATGTTTTAAATGCTTTAATGGGGGGAATACAAGTTGAATACTTATAGTTATTACATCAATCCCATGTGATTAATAACTACAAAACCAATGATTTTAATATTGTTCAAACTGTTTATCAAACTACTTTACAAACTCTTTTACTTATCAATTACTTTTACTTCAACTCTTTTATACTTATTATAAATTTCATGCCCGTATATGTATAGTTATATAAGCAATGTTTAAAAGGCTTAGGAAGGCCGTCCGCCCTATTTCCTTTTCGCGCTTGAGATGTGGTCTGGTGGGATATCGGGTAGCCATCCGAATTCGTTTCAATATTAATTATATATCATGTGTACATATATAGTCATAAAAGTTCTTCCAGATTCATTAGTACTAGTTACTTTGATTAGTGTGTTACCATATGGGTAGCACGATATAATACTTATACAATTGTTAGATCAATGAGATGTTCAATGAGTCAGTTCATTCATGAGTCAGTACTTATTACTATGAGAACATATACATTACATTACTATGAGAACATATACAACTATACTAGAAGAAGAACATATACAACGATACTAGAACGAGTAACAATGCATTACATATACATGAATACGTTAACAAATTGTGATCAACTGTATCGGAGCATGCCTTCAATGTCATGGCCCGAGTTGTAGCCAGAGTCTCTTAGAGGGGGAGCATGAGTTTGCGTATAGATCTATACTGGGTTGACTATCATACACCTTGCTGCTAGCTACAGCCGGACCTGCAGGTCTGTGGGTGCCAAGCGTCAAAACTTTTCACGACCTACATTTGTCGTTGTTACCTAGCCGATAGTATAGTACAATTAATCACATGTTACCTTAATATAAATCCGGTTTAAGGTAGTTAGTACAACAATAGTTCCTATAATACAACACTACAGTACTACAATAATTTACCCTTTACATACATTTAGTGATCATTTCACTTAAACATTAATGTACAAACTATATTTTGTTAATGATAGTTACACTTGGGAAAATTACACACTTTTACGATAAACGAACATACAAAATAGTTACGCCTTGGTAGAAGGCTACTTTTAATAGAAAATATAGGTTTTTCTGAGAGATTCAAACTTTTACAAACACTTACAAACATTCACGTACTTTTACCACCAATGTTTACAAACTCATGCTTAAAACCACGTTCAAACATTTTCATACAAACACTGACACTAAAATACTTATGAACTCACCAGCTAAATGCTGATAAACTCTTTCAAAATAACTTGTATTGTCAGGTCATCAGTAGACAGGTACTGAGGCCAGCTTTTGAGAAAATGGAGTGCATTCGAGACTCATCTATTTATTTTGATTTACTTTTTAGTGTCTATAACTGTACAGAACATGCTTGTATTAAAATTATATATTTAATGCAATGGATGATGTTGTTTGTTTATTTACAGTTATACTGTGTTGTGATACTTTACATGACGTCCTCCGCCCCAGAACGTTTCCTCTGTTCTTGGTTTTGGGGTGTGACACGATGCTCAATAGGTTTGAGGGTGTTTTGGAATCTGGTACACTTCCAAAACAAGAGAGAGACACCGGGAAGCCATCTATAAAAGAAACCCTGAAACCAGCCGATACTATTGAAAACCCAGAGTTAAAAGTCGAACCGAAGGTTAATGTAGCTTTGAGTTCAAGAGGTAATGAAAAGATCATTGATGATAGTGAAAAGGATGAGCCTGACGAGCATGAGCTTAAATGAAGGAAGGCTCATAAAGCTCGGATTGATGAACATAATCTCATTGTTAGAGAGGCAGAAGAAAAGGAGAAAGCACTTTGTGATGCTCAAACTGCTCTAGAAGCTAAAAAGTTGTTATTTCCTCATTGGTCCATCGAGAGAATTCTAATCGAAAAAATTGACAATCCTAGAATTCATTGGTTAGAACCAGTCCCCTCGTTCGATCTGGAGATCACACCGGATTTGCAACTGGAATTCCCTGTTACTCTGAAAGCTTTCTTGTTTCGCAACTTTGATGTAATTGCAAACGTACCAGATTCGGATGAGAATGTGAATATGTACTTGATTTCATTCTAACTGAAGCATGGAAATCCACAGCAACTCACTTGGAGCGCAATGAAAATAACTGTTGTGAAGGATATTGGGCCAATAGAAACTGAGAGCTTTGTCAATGCAATGTTTAAGGACGCTCGAGGTTCGGAGTGTTCTGTGTTTGAGTTCTCTCTTGCTGATCTACCATGTTTAAATCCCTATGCTTGGATTACGTTCTTACACTTCTTGAATAAGGAAGAGAAGAAGTATGAACCAATCGTTGCTCATATCAAGAGGATGTTGGTTTCGTACATCTATGAGGTAGCAAAGAAGGATGGTTAAATCGCCTATGTACTGCGAAAGAAACCAATAGTCCTTCCCGAAGCTTCTGCGAAAGACATCGATAATATGAAGATGGGGAAATTCAAAAGGACAAATGGAGTGTGATGTTTCAACAGGGCTCATAGCCTGTCATGCACCTGCTGAATCAACTCGGTGGTCTTAAGCACCACCTTGGTGTTTCCCGTAACTCGATGTCCAACCTCCCCCCAACAAACTGGAGTCCTACACCTTCAACCATACAGCATCTCAAATGGGGGTCGGTCAATACTAGCATGATAACTATTGTTATATGAGAACTCTGCTAGAGGGAGGTAAGTATCCCAACTCCCTCCAAAATCCAATACATATGCCCAAAGCATATCCTCAAGCATCTGGATCGTCCGCTCGCTCTATCCATCGGCCTAGGGTGGTAAGCAGTGCTGAAATGCAATTGACTCCCCAACTCCTCATGAAACTTCCTCTAGAATCTTGAGGTGAAACGAACATCACGGTCCGAGACCACAATTATCGGCACCCCATGCCTGACCACCACCTCCCGCACATAAATGTCTGCTAATTTCTCGGTGGAGATAGTCTCGGAGATCGAAATAAAATGTGTGCCCTTGGTCAACCTATCCATAATAACCCTAATCGAATCCACACCCGCACCATCTTAGGTAGCTTCATTATAAATTCCATGGTGATCTCTTCCCATTTCAACATGGGGATAAGTAGCAGATGCATCTTTCTGTGAAGCCTCTGATGTTTGACTTTGACCTTCCTGCAGGTCAAACACCGCTCGACAAACCACACAACCTACTGCTTCATGTAGGGCCACCAATAGCTCAATCTCAGGTCCTGGTACATCTTTGTGTCCCCGGGATGAGTAGAAAATTTAGATTTGTGCACTTCCTCTGAGATTCTTTGCCTCACACCCCCAGATGCCAGAATCCAAACTCTGCCACACTAAGTCAATAACCCCCAACTATCTCAAACAAACAACACAATTTTCCCCCGAATCTGCTCAATCTTCCAGTTCTCCCTTTTTAAACCATCCACTTGTACCTCGTTAATCATATCCAATAAAGGTGATATCATTGTCATCCTCTAGCAAATATCTTGAATCGGGGAACTTTCTGTCTTACAACTCAAAGCATTGGCCACCACATTGGCCTTGTCAGGATGGTACAAAATCTCACAATCATAATATTTCACCACATCTAACCACCTCCTCTGACGCATATTCAAATTATGTTGATCTATCAAATACTTCAAACTCTTGTAATCAGTGAAAATGGTGCATCGGACCCTATATTAATAACGCCTCCAAATCTTGATGGCAAATACCACTGCCCCCAATTCCAAATCATGAGTGGGGTAATTCACCTCATGAGGCTTCAGCTGTCTCGAGGCATAAGCAATCACATGCCCCCTGTGCATCAGAATAGCTCCGAGACCCGAATTAGAAGCATCGCAATACACCACAAAATCATCCAATCCCACAGGTAGAGCTAGAATTGGGGTCTCGCATAGTTTCCTCCTCAATGTTTCGAATGCCGATTGTTGATCTAGATCCCACCAAAAGATCACACTCCTCTTGGTCAAACGGGTCAAGGGTACAACAATCTTGGAGAAATCCTTAATACATCTCCTATAGTACCCTGCTAGACCCAAGAAACTTTGGATCTCGGATGCATTTTTCAGAACCTCCCAACGCATTACTTCCTAAATTTTTTTAGATCTACCAAAATACCCTCTTGGTTGATGATGTGCCCTAGAAACTGCACCTCTCGCAACCAAAAGTCGCATTAGGATAATTTGGCATAAAGCCTCCCTCCCCTCAAGGTCTCTAACACTTCCCTCAAGTGTTTCTTGTGTTACTACTTGGTCTTAGAATAGACCAAAATATCATCAATAAAGACATTCACAGACCGATCTAACATTGGTCTGCAAACCCACTTCATGAGATCCATGAACGTTGTTGGAGCATTCGTGAGCCCAAATGGCATCATCACAAATTCAATCTTGGAAAACCACGATGCACACTAAATCTGATCGAACATATCATCAATCCTCAGAAGCAGATAACGGTTCTTCATTGTTAGATTTTTCAACTCTCGATAATCAATACACATCTTGTGCGATCCATCCTTTTTCACGAAAAGAATCGGTGATCCCTATGGGGAACTTCTCGGACGAATGAATCCCCGGTCTAGCAGCTCCTGAAGCTGCATAGACAACTCCTGTATCTCAGGCAGAGCTAGACAATACGATGCCTTGGCTATCAGAGCCGCACCAGGCACTAAATCAATAAGGAACTCCAAGTGCCTCTTGAGAGGCACCCTTGGCAACTCCTCTGGGAATACATAAGGAAAATCTCACATAATCGGTACGCTGCTCATATTTGTCATGGTCTCCACTCTCGTATCTGAAACATAAGCCAAAAACCCAGAACAACCCTGCTGAAGGAGTCTCTTATCCCGCTCAACCGAATAGAGAGCTGACCCATGTGAGGATCTCTCTCCATGAATAACCAGTTCTTTCCCACTTGAGGTTTGAACCCTCACTAATGGATGCTCGCAATTTATCATGGCCCCATTGGGCCCCATCCAATCCATCCTGATGATCACCTTCAATCCTCGGAAACGAATCGGAACCAGATCGATAGGAAACCTCTCCCCGAACATATTCAGAACACTCTTCTGAAATACCCTTGCATCACTCATAGTGCAGTCGTCCGCAATCTCTACCTCGAGTGGGGAATCCAAAGTCCCCGGAGCATCTCAAAACTTCTTGTTGAGCTCAAAAGATATGAATGATCGGGTAGCCCCCGAATCAAAAAGAATATGAGCTGACAAACCATTGACCAAAAAGGTCCCTATATAAAATTGTAACAACATAAGCATAACAATAAAATAAACAAGATAAAAATAGATCACATACCAGTCACGAATTCAGGTGCTGCTCGGGCCTCCTCGGTGGTCAACTGAAATGGGTGACTCTTCTGATGGGTTTTGAGCAAAACATACATTCTTATGGATGCATGCAACCCTAAAATGATTGGATCTAAGTTTCCTCTATTGAACATGAAAACAAGGAACACAATACAAGAAACCCTAGGATCTATATATTATAATCGAAATTCACATTATAAGGATCAAAATACATACCTTGATTGTTATATTCTAATAACAATCTAAAACCTTGTAGATCTTGAACTTTGAGAACTTAGTGTCACAAGTGTAACACCTTTAATGGCTCACAAACACACTTAGCAAGAGGATGATTATGAGAGGAGGAGAGAGAAGACAATTTTTGGTTTTTCTTAAGGTTTAGGAACCTTAGACTGGCTGAAATCCATAAGGGGTTATACCCTTTATATAGTTGTTGGTTGCTTAGAGGCAAAGCTAGGGTTAATATAAGGAAACCCTAATCCCTTTGCTTAAGGCTTGAGCAGCTCATGGGTCCTCATCCTTAAGGCCATGAACGAAATTTCTTGGGCCTTCCCTAGAGAATTTCGTCTATCCCTCCTAGGATGATCCAAGAGCCAAAGTCCACAACTATCAATAAATTGCAAAACAACCCCTGCACTTTTAATTAATTCCTTTAATCTCAAAATTAATTCCAAATTAATTTCTAATTAAATATTAATTAATAGTATGATTTCTAATTAATATATTATTTCCATTACATATTAATAAATCATTTATCTTAATTTATTATTCCAAATAATAAATTCTTCCTCTTCCTCAATTTATCATCCTGTCAAGTTGCTAGTATGAAGGCAACCCAAAAGGACCATGCCACTATCAATTTAAGTACATACCAGTTATAGTAATGGGCTTAGACACCTAATCCAATAGTCTCCCACTTGGACAAGTCTAATAACTATAGTTTTACGTACGACTTCAAATTTTGACAAGCAATTATAGCTCTCAAAGACGTTGTCGAACTCTGACCTAGTCAGATGTGTGTCCTAAGATAAGTGATCAAATATTTCTCCATTCTACAACATATAATATGAACATAAGACATGGATTATAATCATTCTCTTTGTCAAATATTTGTTTCCTGATTTCTGATTTATGATGACTGAAATCAGACTACTAATTGAGCACATCAATTTAGTCTAGGCTTGGCCAAGCACTTTAAATGTCATCACCAAATCATCAAGGGGTCCACAGATATTGGTTTTCCCATTAGGGAAAAAGGAACAGATAAACTTCAACTTATATGCTTTCATAATTCACTCATCAAATCACGCACAACAATACATTTTATAACATCAAGTTACTGATGTGTTTACGTATTATCAATGAACAACTGACTTGCAAACAACAGCTCATATATCTCGGTTTCAAGAATATAAGATATTATCATCTCAAAATTACTCATGATAAAATCGATGAAGTAATTCTCTGAGTGTGGGTTTATCCAATACTCAAAATCCACATTTCAAAAGTACTCATGAACATTACAGCAAGCCATTGATATGTCTAACTCCTTAGACAATCTACAAATTGATTCATGACAGTCTTAATTCACTACTTACTTCCAAAAGTATGATTGACCTTGGATGTTTGAATAATCCAACTATTCGGGAAGTAAAACATGAGAAGTGAAACATAATAATAACCTAATTAACTATGGTCTCAAAACTATTGAATATAAATAAAACACTTATTATTTAATCACCATATTAATTAGTCTTTATTAATTGTATAATGTTTTAATTAATCAACTAAACACTTTAATTAAATATTAGTCATGTCATGCTTTAAATATGCATACTATGTCTCTATGTGGTCCTTCCTTTGTGAAAAGATCGATTGGACATTATTCCAATGATGCTCATTTCATAATTTCAAATTCTTGTTACTACATGTAAGAATTTCAAATTCTTTTCATTTCTAAATGTGCTAGAATTTCAACTTTACATGTAATGTCTTTTTGTAATAATGTGGACTGAAAGTCACAAAGACTTTGCCAACAATGTCACAAAATACTCCATTGAAACTTTG